GAAAGAAATCTGCGTTCGAATGAAAAAAAATATGCGTTCGAACGAAAAAAATATGCGTTCGAACGAAAAAAATATGCGTTCGAACAAAAAAAGCTGTTTGCTGTTTGCTGTAAGCTGTTTGCCCTCCCTGTGCTGCCCCACCACTTATGTGGGTGATTTGTTCATGTTTTTTCAGGTCCAACGTGCATAACATATGTGCCCAATATAGGTCCGTGGCCCAAGTACAGGAATTTCAATAACTGGTCTTAAAGCAGTCTATGAGCTTTCAAACGGTCTTACTAGGGCTTGCTGTTAGTTGGTCATGAAGTTTAACCATTGCAATGAAAATCTAGCTAATTGTCCTTTTTTTAAGAGTCCCTATCCTGTTACAATACTAGCTACAACACAACCCCCCCCCACCCCATCAGTCCCACCCATTATGCTATGCTGAGGCAACACACTTATGAGACATTTTTAAAAGTAATTTGCCTTTTTGGTACTAGCTGTGATATGTCTTCGATACGTAAATGAATTTTCGCCTGGAACAATACTGGTGCGGGTGACTTGATAAATAGGAAAATGATCTGAGATGTCATCAAGCAATATTCCTGCATAACAAGTTTTATCAAGAACATTTGTAATGATATTGTCAATAAGAGAAGCAGATTTGTGTGTAATTCTTGTAGGTGTACGTATAAGGGGATGGAAGGTATTGGAAAGCATAGTATTAAGGAAATCAGCAGTAGGAGGATGATAATCATTTTTTAGGAGGTCAATGTTGAAGTCACCGGTAATATAGCCCATTTTGTGCTCAGAATTCATGATTTCGTAGATAGGTTCCAGATCTACGGAGCTTTTAAAGGGACATAGGTGAAAAAAAACTTGAAAAAATCATCGTAAGAATGAAAAAAATCTGCGTTCGAACGAAAAAAAATCTGCGTTCGAAAGAAAAAAAATCTGCGTTCGAACGAAAAAAATTTGCGTTCGAAAGAAAAAAATCTGCGTTCGAACGAAAAAAACTGCGTTCGAACGAAAAAAATCTGCGTTCGAACAAAAAAATCTGCGTTCGAACGAAAAAAAATCTGCGTTCGAACGAAAAAAATCTGCGTTCGAACGAAAAAAATCTGCGTTCGAACGAAAGAAATCTGCGTTCGAACGAAAAAAAATATGCGTTCGAACGAAAAAAATATGCGTTCGAATGAAAAAAATATGCGTTCGAACAAAAAAAGCTGTTTGCTGTTTGCTGTAAGCTGTTTGCCCTCCCTGTGCTGCCCCACCACTTATGTGGGTGATTTGGTCATGTTTTTTCAGGTCCAACATGCATAACATATGTGCCCAATATAGGTCCGTGGCCCAAGTACAGGAATTTCAATAACTGGTCTTAAAGCAGTCTATGAGCTTTCAAACGGTCTTACTAGGGCTTGCTGTTAGTTGGTCATGAAGTTTAACCATTGCAATGAAGATCTAGCTAATTGTCCTTTTTTTAAGAGTCCCTATCCTGTTACAATACTAGCTACAACACAACCCCCCCCCCCCCACCACATCAGTCCCACCCATTATGCTATGCTGAGGCAACACACTTATGAGACATTTTTAAAAGTAATTTGCCTTTTTGGTTTCTTTTTATAAAGTGAGGCAAGTTTAAAAAAATAATTAAAAAAGGCTATATAATTATCTTTCAAATTTTTCAGGTAAAAAAATATAACTGGTCGTCATTGTGATTTTCAGAAATTTTTCTATCCACAAATCCTTTACAGTATAAATTTTCATTCCTAATCCTTGTAATAGCTCCAAACTTTAGAAGCGACTGACATGTATATATTGTTTGATCATTTCTGGCTTTCAATAAGCCTATTTTACTAGTCTAACACTTGTACATGTACATGTAATTTCTGCTTCCTCACTTTCAGATACGGGATTCACTAATTAGCTGATTCCTACTCATACTCATAGCAATTGACAAACATGTCGGGCTATTCTGATAGCCATGGCTAGCCCGACATGTTTTTTGGTGGCCCATGGATAACCAGTTAAATGTGGAGAAACTGTTGCACTTACAAGAGCATGATATGAGTCACATCATGATTGATACGTTTTACATGTTTGGTACAACAGTTTTCAGGGCAAAGAATGTTTTGACCCACAAAAATCACCCACATAAGTGGTGGGGCAGCACAGGGAGGGCAAACAGCTTACAGCAAACAGCAAACAGCTTTTTCGTTCGAACGCAGATTTTTTTCGTTCGAACGCAGATTTTTTTTCGCTCGAACGAAGATTTTTTTCGTTCGAACGCAGATTTTTTTTCGCTCGAACGAAGATTTTTTTCGTTCGAACGCAGATTTTTTTCGTTCGAACGCAGATTTTTTTCTTTCAAAGATTTTTTTCGTTCGAACGCAGATTTTTTTCGTTCGAACGCAGATTTTTTTTCGTTCGAACGCAGATTTTTTTCGTTCGAACGCAGATTTTTTTCTTTCTAACGAAGATGTTTTCAATTGTTTTTTCATCTATGTCCCTACAAAAGCTCCGTACAGATCTTCATTGAATGTTCGAATAGATTGGCTTGGTGGTCGATAGATGACTCCGACAATTATATTGGAAGAACTAGGATTGACAATTTCAATAAAAAGAGATTCCATGTATAATGTGTTTCTTTCAAGATCAAGTGCATGCATGATTGCGGCAGGTGACAGATTTGGCAAATGCAAACTGCTAATACGAAGAGAAGAAGAAAAAAATGTGCGGTGCATTAATTGCAGGTCAAATGTCAAGGCTAACTGAGGTCACTAGTTCAATTCAAGCGGGAATTCAATGTTTAAGATGTTTCAAAAAAGTCTTGGCGATAGACCGTTTCCAACAGGTCAACACTTTCCAATGACATTTCAGCGTTATTTTACATAGACATCCCTTATAGTTAGCAAAACGCCGAAACGAGCCAACAGCTGATACGGTACGCATTTTATTCAGTGCCCTTTTATAATGTATTGCTCACCTGCCTTGAGTATTTCGCGTGCTTTTGTTCTAGCAATCCTAAAACTGTTGCCCCTGCAAAAATGGAGGGCAGTCAGGCGGGTTGAGTTGGGGCATGTGGGCGTGGGGCCAAGGAGATAGCTTTTTGTGGGTATTGTATTGTTTACAAATAATTTTATCGCCGTGGGCGCCCGGCTGTTTGGTTTATTTCGTAAAAAAAAAATCTGCAATGGACATTTTCTCCTGTTTATTGGTAAAAAATCAATAATGCAATTTCAGGTCGACGTAAAATGTTGATAGCGGTAAAGCCGAGAGAGCGCCCACCAAAGTGACCTATATATTTATACCTCCGTGGGTTATAAAACATCATCAGCAGTAAGCCCTGACATGCAGTTCCGGCGACGACACAATTAGGCCCTATTTGCACCGCTGCTTTGTTCGGGCTCCAGACTCTATTGGTGTAGTCTTAAATGGGGTGGAAAGATACGTCGCTCCAAACTAAGACGATGGAACCTCTCCCTTTCTCTGATATTTCGCCCCAAAGACTACCGCCAATATATAACAAATGCTTTTTATTATATTAGACCGTACATAAATATTTCAGCGTGCCTGAAAAACGAAGTGGATTCTGATTGTCACTTCTCCGAAAGCCGAATTATAACAACCACGCAACGCGGCAGTACAAATCGACAATGTTGTGCCCCACAATAAATACTACGCAACTTATAATTTCGACTGGTATGGATCACTTATCTGATCCACTTAAATTTTGGTTTTATCAAAGAATAACAAGAAAACCAAACCAAACACATCACCTGTAACATCTGCGCAAATAAATCACAATAAGTGTGTACATGCGCTTGATTTTGCTATTTTCAACCTCTGTTGTGTATCCTAGCCGTCGTACCTAGGTTCGGCACTAGGCATCGCATTGATACATATAAATTTTAAAACAACCGGTTTAAAATAGTTGGGATCATTGCAATCAATTTCTAAGATATCGATTTATTTCTTATTCGAAATCCATAAACAATTGGTTTTTTTTCTTCTTCTTCTTCTTCTTTTTTTTTTTTTTTTCGCAACGATCATGTTTAGTAAATCCTTATTGACTTTCTATGCCATCTAGCGCCCACGGCCAATGGTATACAAATAATGGATGTTTGTGAGTGCAATGGTAAGAATAATTTCATGAGGGGACAGATGAAATGTTCCATTCCACGATGAGAAGCCGAGTAAAATGGAACATTTCATCTGTCACCGAATGAAATTATTATTTCCATTGCACGAACGTGAAACATTCATTATTTGTTTTATATAACACCTGAATAAATCTTTGTCATGTGTGGCAAGGATGAACCGTAAGGTGAAGCAGAAACGGTACGGTAAAGCATGTTGTTTTATCCCCTCGAGTTCGGGCCCAGAAGGTCGCCGTTCATTTCTTTTTCCCGCCCTGCCCACCCTGCCAAAAGGTTGCCTTGTTCGGACTCCGGTTTTTACGCTCGAATCTTTCCACCCCATATCTAAGACTACACCAATAGACTCTGGAGCCCGAACAAAGCAGCAGTGCAAATAGGTTACTGTTTAACTTAGTTGACTGCCAATCAGTGAAGGCCAACACAGTAGTGAACACTCGTTACCAGGATTGTCTCACATTTAATCACCACTTTTTAATTTTAATCCGCCAAATAACAGAAAAATACCTAGAAAAACAGAAAGTACTCTACTGCTGTCATATAGACTTCGAGAAGGCTTTCGACTCGGTATGGCAAGAGGGACTATGGGCAGCAATGAAATTCTTTGGTTACCCAGACCAGATAATTCGCCTATTGCAAGCCTTATACAAACAATCACAGAGCGCAGTTCGGGTAAATGGAGAATTGACTGACTGGTTTACCACCACAGTAGGAGTACGGCAGGGATGTGTGCTATCGCCCCAACTCTTCAATATACTACTTGAACTTGTAATGCTGTACGCCACCCATGAAGTAAACTACGGAGCAAATGTACGAGGAAAACAAATAAACAATCTCCGCTTCGCAGACGATATTGCGTTGATGGCAGAAAGTGCAAGGGGCCTTCAAGTTCTTGTTGACAGAGTACAGGACAGTAGCTGTAACCTTGGATTAAAGATCAACATTGCTAAAACAGAAGTCCAGGCTATCAGCAAGAAGAAGATCGACCTGTACATCACCATAGGCGGAACACAACTTAAACAAGTTGAAGAATTCACATACCTGGGAGGCAAAATCTCAGAGAGCGGAACATGCACCAAAGACATACAACATAGAATTGGCAAAGCACTGGGGGCCGTACAGGTATTACACAACATATGGAGATCAAAAGAAATCACCAACCCAACAAAAGTAGAACTCTATAAGGTCCTCATCCAGTCAATATTGCTTTATGGTGCAGAGACCTGGACACTTAAAAAGGTGGACGAAAACCGACTGCTGACATTTGAGATGATGTGCCTACGCAAGATCTTAGGAGTCACTCGACTGGACAAAATCAGGAACACCTCAATACGACAAACCCTAGGAGTTAAGAACACTATTACTGAGCTAGTAGCCAAAAAAAGGCTACGCTACTTCGGCCATGTCAAGAGGATGAGCCCAATGAGGAACCCACACCTGGTATTGGGATCATATGTTCATGGACACCGACCAAGAGGGAGACCAGCCAAGTGTTGGGAGGACTGTGTGAAGTCAGACTGTCAAGTGAGAGGCCTGAGGTCATTAACAGAAGCCTGCAATTTATCCCAAGATAGGAAGACCTGGCACAACGTCATGGATCAGAAGCCATCACACAGTTCCCAGCTGGTGTGGACGGCTTAAAGTAAAGTAATGCTAGAACTCAAACCCTGAAAAACACACCTAGTTATGACTTTCCCCGAATCTGGAGTAGTTTGCCATCACATATAAGGGACTCTCTATTAATTGATTCATTTACACTTAGTTTAGTCGGAAGAGGGGGGTATCGTTTTTGTAACTATATCTCAGCCAATATTGCAGATAACTGAACAAACTAGGTGTCTAAACCCATGTTTTCAAGGTCAGAGATCACAATAAAACTATTCTGGAAGTGACCACATGTGTCTGTGGCATAGGAATATGCAAATTAGTGCCGCTATTTCCTTGAGCTGGAAATAGCCCCCCCCCCTTCAAAGTGTTGATCTCTTTTGATCTCCTTTAATC